TACCGAGAGAGATACGCTGGCATCAGTACGAATTAAAAATATAATTAATGGGTTGATGCGTGGCGGTAAGGTGTAAGCGAAATATTATCAAGAGAAATCATATCCTTGAAACACGTTGGTGCAATATGCGAAAGTGTAAATGAAGAGACGTAAAGCGCATGTTATATGCAAACTTTGGCGAGTCGTCGAGGAATATTTCGTTAGACTAAATTAAGAGAATATGAATTCCGTAAATTCAGGAATACAATTTTGACAAGAATGCGAGAGGTTGTTTATATTTTCACATTACAAACAATCTCTATTTCAGTGCTATATTTGTAATTGTGATTAAACATAAGCAAATAAATGCATGAATTTTTGTACAATACGTACAAATCTTTCCTTTTCTTTTTTTTTAATATAAATTATGATTATTCTTTATACCGAGTAGTTCAAGCTTAGGAACTCGGCCACAAACGTCCACACCTATGAAAATATAAAAATGACAGGTGCACCGGTGTAGATATGACTAACTGCACGTAGGCGTAAGCATTGGTACGTTGGCCGACCGCAACGCAAGAATATATGGGGGAGCACGGAAACTCAGAAAATTATTGAGTACTGGGCACTTGCTCTACATGAAAGTAGTAATTTAACGTGATCAGTACGTTGCTTTTCGGCTATGGAAAAAAAAAGATTATTTTATTTACCAAACGAGTTTTATTGTTAACGCAACTTTTAATGTTGAAAATTGTCGTAGCTACGCGCTTTTCGATCGTAACAAGTGCATCGAGCATCACTAGAGGTCTTTCTGAATTCAGTCGCGTACAAAAATATAAATACAATCCATCACTCGACTTCCTTCCGCAGCAGATGGCGAGTATAGATGCACTTGTCGGCTTATGTTATGAAAACGCCCGTCTGCTGCGCGTCCAAGACTGTACTGTATAATGTGTTACTTTTTAGGTTTTCGACAATGAAATTCCATTAAAATTGATCGGTACTTTTATAAATGTTGGTCAATATGCGCCCGGGAGGAACTTACGAAGCAAGTCCAGAGCTCCGAAGAGTCGAAATTATATTTAGAAAAAGTCTCCCGCAAAAAGTGCAACAGCTGCGAGAATAAGACGAGAGGAAAAAAATGGGAAAAAACGTGAATATTTTGCAAGATTAGTCCAACGCGGATTTTGTACGCGCGAAGAACATGTATAAATTTGACCCTACCGAAAGAATCGGTCACTACATTCAGTCACAGTCTCGCGTGAATATATTATTTAGGATTTTATAAGAGGCTAAGATTAAAAGTTATCATAAACCTCCGAATGTGAAAAACGAGAAGGAACTAAAAATACCATTATTATTCACGTTGAATCGAACGAGCTCGTAAACGTCTCGGAAACGTAGAAACGTGTGTATATATAAGAGACGGCAAATTCAAATTATAGCTTTGATGGAGCGTGATTTATGCAGTTTTTTCTCTTCCAATCAAAAGATTAGAAAGCTTATGCAACGATTCGAGCATCAGTTATCGTTTGTAACGAGCCGAGTTACGGCTATGTATCTCAAGGTCAATCGATTCTAACGCACATAAAGCACATTAATACAAAAATCATGCGACATCCGAGCGATTTCTGATGCTGTAAAATTATTCAACGGGTCGGCGTGCGGTGTTTCCCGTCAAGAATAGCTGCACAATCCCACAGGATCTCCGTTACTGGAAAGGAATTAATGATGCAACGAACGATGACCGTCCCGCTGCGGACGCGGAGAGATAGAGAGAGAACATGAAAAATTTACCCACACAGGGTCGAGGTCGTACGATAAGTCGTTGCCGACTCGAAATCTCGCGTGCGAGTGTACGATTTATACATCCAGCCAGGTAGGTATGTGTGGGATCGATCCGTGTGCGCGAGCCGAGCAAGCAGATATGCTCGTCGTCGCCTTGGTGCAGACGTAAATCTACGTACACACACACATACAATCCAACGCACAGTAATCGATATATACGCGCGTCTATATAGTTTATATCGACGAGTCGTATAGGCAATGGCATGTGTGTGTAAAGCTCGCGTCAATGAACGGCGAGAGAGAGAGAGAGGAAATACTCGATATTTCGAGGGAATACGGCGAGTTTTACTCTTCGTTAGCGGGATATCGGGATATGTGTGCCACCACCGCAAATGTAGTATCATGAGAAGTACAGTTTACTGTCGACATGGTACAAAAATGATTGTCAAGAATTGAATTTCGACTCATCATTCTACATCTGCTACCTGATCCCAGTCTGTGCGATTAAATTTTGCTTGTACACAATTGATTTCATCGAATGAACAACGCTTGTAAACGCTCTCATTATACCAGGTACCTGTATATAGAATACACTGAAAAAATGATTACGAGCGCGAAAAAAATGAGAGAAAAGAAATCGATGAAACGTGTAAGTATGCGCTTTTAATTTTTTTTTTTTTTCTTTTTTTTTTTTGTAAGCAAATAATTCTGATTTTTCTTCTGCGCCTGCAGAACGTCTACAGAGGATCTCGATGCAAATCGTGAATTACCGTCTTCTACAACGACGAATAGCGCAAGTGAGAGAAATTGCGCGATGTACGTACGTATGCGTTGTCGGCAGCGGCGATGCATACACACACAATCATACACACACGTACTGTGAGTCATCAGAATCTTATTTTCGCCGTAGAGAGAAAGGAATAAGAAAAATAAAAAGAAGTTTTGAAGCGAAAGCTCAATGGAATGAGAGCAGAGCACGAGAGGCAGAGGCAGAACTCGCGCGCTGGGGGAGAGCTTTTTTGGCATGGTCGCAAGCACCGAAGAATCCCAACGTCGCTATTAACGCACGCGCTTGTAAATACGTATTATAAGTGTATCGTCGCGTGCGAGCTTTTCCGTTTTGGCTAAACAGCGCAACGATTATATACAGACAGAAGCGAATTCATATGCCCGATGTAAGCTCATTATTGTTCGACTTGCGTATGACATCGTGAGCGGATTGTCTGGACTGGAACGTTCGACTGCTGTACGACGTCGATTGTCGTGCGTCAAAATTTCTTCGAATTCGCTCGGTCGTAATACATCGCCGAGACTCGGATGCTCGTGCCGAGTCGCAACATACGTCTTAGGCACTCGGTGGAAGCTCTCCGAGAATTAGATGCAAATTGCGATGAGCAGAGTAGTAGGTAGTCGAAAAAAGAAAGCTCAGGCCGCAGAGAGTAATCAAATTGACGATAACAGATGTTCAACGAGACACTCGTGTACACTGTACAGTCGGAGTGGGCCATTTAAATTGCTTGCCTCGAGTCGGTAATGCGTGTCGTTATTACACCGGACAGCAGCTGTAATAATGCCCGATTCAGCATAAGGTGTATTATATAGAAAAGATACCCGAGCGAAATGGACTCTGCGGTTAAGCAGGCACTTGCACACATACACCTTCGTGCCCGTACACGCATGTATACTCACACAAATATGGGCTATACGTAAAGAGCAAAGTCTCTTCTAAGAGATGGGGAAATATAGCAGAAGAGGGCTACTGCGAAAAGCTCATCGTTTGATAAATCGAAAAAAGAACGGCAAAAAGGAGTCGATTTCAAAGAAAGCAGCAAAGCGCAAGCAAAGTTACGCAGTGCCTCGTGCGTCGAGTGCTGCTGCTGCCGACTGCTTTTGCGCGTGCCGAATGTTTCTCGCAAGATTCTAGGTTAGGCTCTCGCTCGCGTTGTCGAGTGTCGAGGATGTATATAACGAAGAATATAACGATGAAAATAGCACGCATTCACGCACTCGCACACACACACAAACGCGGTACATGTAAGGAACGCGCGAATGGGCATATACAGCGAAGACCGTGTAAGCCTTGCAGCAATTCGTCGTTGTAATATTTTTTTTAATCTTTTTGTGACTTTCGAGCCAAGTGTAACTGACCTCTCGTTAACTACGTTTGGCTACACCAACACTAGGCTCGCCAGACTTGCACAGGCGGTCGTGGGCCGAGTACATTGTAGGGTAAGTGTAACTGCAGCAGGTATACACGAGGAGTGCGCGCATACACACATCACACGTACACACGTAACGCAGAACGCGTACTCGAAACCTAGATTATGAATTATATTGTCATCGTCGCCGCTGCTATGCCTTCTACTCCTCGTATACCTATCGCTTGCAATACTGTACTGTAGCTCTCCGTATAACGATGACATTATATACCTATAAGTATCGTGTATCTATCTATACGCTATTGCTGCTGCTGCTGGTGCTGCTGCTTCGTCTCGGATTATTATCGTGTAAACGCGAAAATATTTCACGCGGATTATTCAGCGCGACGTCATGTCTCACACGCCCGTCGTAATCTTGATATCGGCAGCTTGACACGCTTGCAAACAATCGCACATATGATTCGCAAGTGCTGCACAATGTCGACTTTTAAAATGCCAATGCGAATGCAAATATCAAATACAAACGAAAAGTTTCGTGTCACAGATATTGCCTTCTGCGGACTTGATAAGGCGGATGAGAAAGAAGAGGAGGCCCCAATACGAGACACACGAGTAGCGAAAAAAAAAATCAAATGCACCGACAATGAATAGGCAAAAACGAACGAACGGCGACGATGACGACGACGACGTTGCAGACACCCTCAATATTTGATACACCTTCTCTACGCGCAGGCGTAGCGCATAAACACGAGCGCAAGGGTGTGTATACAAAAATAATAATAATGATGATTCACGTCGATGGGGTGTGTAGATACGTGTGCTACTGCCGCTTCTATAGATATACTATGTAGGTATATGTGTAGACTGCTATATAGCTAAGCACGTATAATACTGCCTGCCTGCCTGCCTGACTATGGATCGTTTCAATTTCTATGCTTCGCGAAATGTCGACAATGAATGAGGTTAGGTGGGCTTTTTGCACTGCAGTCCGCACAAAGTCCACGTATTAATGCACACACAAACGCACACACGAGCGAAGCACAGAGCATGTACTCGGCAGAGACGATGACTTACCTTGATTATCGGCAAACTCCTGCTGCCTGGAGTCAGCCATTTTAAGTGTTGAAGCACCACCACTGGTCTCGCGGTTTTGTAACTATATAACAGCCTCTGTTGCTGCTCGTACTGTTGTTGTTGACGAGGCTTTATAACCTCCACCTCGTTTCGCGAATCGTTTGCGGACGTCGATCGCCGTCGATTGTACCGTCGACTCCTAATTCGAGGGCGGCGGGCCCTGGTCGTTGCGAGTAGAGACTTTTCAACAGCAGACGCGCGACAAAAAAGTGTGTGTGTGCGCGCGCGTGAGGTCTCTGCTACACCTACTGTCCGATGCTCCGATTTTGCTCAAACTCGAGACAGTCACTTTGCAGCTAGCACTCAGCACTAATATCTTATTGTATTCGATTCTCTGTGTGTATAAGTCGATTTGTTGCTGTACTGCTGCTCGCTGTGTACTGCTGCTATTGCTGATGTTACTGCTGCTGCTGCTTCTGCTGATGATGACGACGACCTCGTTGCGACAATTCACTCATGCGCGCACTCCACTCTCCGGATCCTGCAAACTTGGAATTTTTTGCAATATAACAGAAAAATGCACTCGGTAACGCGTTTAATACGTCTCACAAGCGTTTACACGTGTGTAACAGCGAGTAATGCTCGACTTTTTCAGTCCACATCTACATAAGTCTGTGTATATATATACATCGGTTTCGTAGCACACACGGAGCAACGACGTCCCTCGCACCACAGACAGGCACAGTCGTCGCTGTAGTTTATACAGACACTCTCGCGCGACGGCCTATGTTATGATTATATTTTCGCGCTGTCTATGTGTACTACGTGTGTGTTTGTGCGCGCGCCAAAGAGTGAGGGTAAACTGACTGCCAGTAGTGCCAGTTGTTGTGTGCGCGACTCTGTGTATTATTACCAATACAGCCAACGGCATACAGTCGCAATTTGCGACTACAGGAGTAGGTACAAGCGCGACGACGTTTGTACAATAACTATTGCAGGCAGGCAGACAGGCAGCGTGGCGCGTATCGTGTCGGGCTTCCACACAACTGCAGATGGAACTAACTTTTTTTTTCGAATACTTCAAGAAGCGTTTGAAACGCTGCGGCGGGAATGCCTCACGATTTAAAAGTGTTCCTATCATCACACGAAACGTATTACATGGATTGATAATGTAAACGAACTTTATCTTCTAATTTGCAGCTTGCCGATCGAAATTTACCGTTGTACTGATGGCGCGTTTGCACTGTAACTTCACGATGACAGCCGCATGTTTGTACCGATACGTAATACACGAGCTGTATAGATTTTTTGGTCGCGATGACTCGGGTTATCAAATATTGTAACGCAATGCACAATTCACGTAGAAAATCTTTGCTAGATTGTCAAATGATATTACAAGCGCATATTGTTCCTTGCTTACTTGCCGATGATAAAATTATCGCGCTGCGCTCGCTGCAGAATCTGCACGTCAAAAGTTGCGTGCAAGCGTCATCTGTCCGCGACTCGAAACACTTTGACACTTTGGAACTCCGACTTTTGACTCACAGATGGGACTAGTCGCTAGATGTATGTGCGAGCGAATTTTGCCCGGTGCAAAGTCGGAGTCGGTGCTCGATGGCGAAATTCTGCTCAACAAAAGCGCCGTGGACGCTTACAGACACAACTAAGTTCGCAATTTCTGATTCGCATCGAGTCTTCACTAATTTGCTTAGCCGTTTGCGTTTTGTTTGTTAGAGGTTGTCTCGCCTATAATATGCATTGCGCGCACATGTGCCGGTAGTCCGCTCAACTTTTCGGAGTTTGTGCATGGGTGTATGGCGTTATTTCGCGTTCAGTTTTTCGCGAAAGATGTGCCGGTAGCCCGCTTGACTGCTCCGTGCATGTGTGAATTGTGTTACCTAGCGCTTAGTTTCTCGTGAAAGATTTTGCTTTTCGGAGTTTTGCAACAAGTGTTGGCGCACTTCAATAACACTTTGAATGGCAGAAGTATGAAAAACTGAAGAGTGCAAGTGTATCAAGTGTCAATTAGTAATAATAAATTGTACATTTGATTTTACAGGATGCAGCAGTTTTGCGCTGCTTGTTCTAAAAATGGGATACAAACACCAATCAAGTTGTTTCAGCTTAATTTCAAAGAAGCCACATTTATGTGTTCTTCAGAAAAGGTATATTATTACTATCACTTAAAAAAATTTTTATTTTAAAACATATTTATTGATTTTTATTATGCTTGTGTTCAAAGTGTATGTGGCCTTTTAACTTAGAAGACTCCATCATAATTGAGAGGGAAATTCTACCATCAGGAAATCCAGATTGGAACGAAATTCCTAGGAGGTATTTGAAGAATAATAAAATTTGTCCAGATACTTTGGATTTTACATTTTGTACACCACCGCAGACACCGAGCTCTGATCCCAATATCAACGATGTACAAAGTTCACATTCCACAACTGCTCCAGGAGTAATGGATGGTATCACCCAATCTATTCTTGTAGATTGCAATGGTGAAACAAAACCTGTTGAGTTTAAAATCAATTTTTCTAAATCATTTGATAACTTCAATCAATCGAGTGTTTATGGTGAAAATGAAATTTCTCAAGTTGCAGTGAAGAATGAATTTCCTACGTTTTCAGTTAAGAATGAATTCATTGCATCTAATGTTAATAATGAGAAGTCTGACGCTTCCCAAAATAATATTCAACCTGTTATTATAAAAAAAGAACCACCTGTAATTATAAAGAATGAATGCCTTTCTACAAATTTTTATTTAAAAAAGTCGAATACAAAGAATGGATCGATTCTATTATTAAAAAAGGAGAACCCTTCTAATAATAAATCAAAAATGAAATCAAATTTAAGAGTTAGGCGATCTATTTCAAGTTTATCTACGCCACATATAAAATACAATTTTGAATTCAATGATATATTCAAACGAAAATTCAATGAGGTCAAACCCACAAAAAAGAAAGAAATTATTAAGGCAACTTGTTGTGATGTTAATGATAACAAACCTCATCAAAATGAAATTGATCTATTGTCAGAAGATGTTAAAGTTCATAAAAATAGTCAAAATTTAATTGTAAATAATTCTAGTGAAAATGAAGTGAAAGATGCGTTAGTCCAGCTTGATGCCAAAGTTAATGAATTGAATGAGAGCGTGCATGATTCAAACAAATCTAATACCAATGAGATCAATTTTGAAGAGTTGTTTAATGCTGATAATTTAAATATAAAGAATGAGAGCAAAGAAATGATAAATTTAGAAACTAATTGTACAGATTCTACTTCTAATAAGGCCATAAATATTGATAATAAGGAATGCCACAATTCAATTAATGCTAAAGTTTCTAAATTAAATGGAAATAGTACTGAAACTACCAAAATGGAATTGGATGAATTGATAGATAGTGTATATACTTCAGAACTGCAATGTGAAATTGATGAAAGCGATGAAAATTGGTTGCATGTTTTGATGCAAGAAGATAGTTAGGTGAATTAAAGTTATTTATTTATTACTTGTTATACATGAGTGTAAAATGATCTATTTTTTTTTTAATAATTCTCATGTGATATATAAAAAAACTGATAAATAAAATTTTGAAAGTTAATTTTGACTATAAATTGTTGTTTCTCAATTATATCCATAATTTTGATTATTTATGATTGTTATATTTTTCATGAAATTTCATTAGATCGTTGACATATAAATCTCTGTTCAATCTTTGACTACTAATGACCTAATGATTGCCATGAAAACAAGGAAAACATTGATAATCATATAATCCCTATTCGTTTCGTAGGCAAGATATGTAGAGAGCTCCCAAATATTTATTTTACGAAATTTTGAATGACCTTTGCGAAGGTTGTCAAAAAATATTGTCGGTAGATTGTCATATTTGAAATTATCGTGAGAAATGTTTTACTTGGAGCAAGGGAAATATACATGTTACAGAGTACAAAAGAATAATCGTGATAGTAAATCGTCATTCATAGTAAACATCATAGGATGATCATCACCAACGTTTTCATAACTATACGAGCAGCGCATAGCAAGCCCTGCGTAAACCAAAATAGCGTTGTATTTTGCGGTGATTATTTACTCCTCGAATTGGCACGTGTTATCGAATGCGTATGCTGTTTTGGTACTATACATATATGTGCTGTGCGCAAGTTATTATACAGAGCATAATCTGCAAAGCTGTATTATACGTAAAAGTCGAGTCTTACGAAACCGAACGTGGTTTTTCGGTTGTGCGCGGCCAATTATCTTTGCCAGTCTTTTGTGATTCAGAAAGCGAGAGAGAGAGAGAGAGAGAGAGACGAGGAGCCCATGTAGGTAAGCACACATAATGCGTGTATACATACACGTGAGCCGTGCAAGTGTGCGCGCTTGATTTCTGAAATTACAACCTGACAGTTCTCTGTTCCTCTCTTTCACTCTCTGTGAGTTGCGCCGAGCGCGCAGTCCTGACACGTAAATTGCTCGCTGCTCTACCTCCACCGTGGTATACGTATATAGCAATACACAGATACAGGGTTGTTCGTCCGATGCGGTGGGGAGGCGAAAGGGGGAAAAAGAGGACCGGTGGGTATATACACGGCTCGCTTCGTTTTACCTACATACGTATATTGCCGGTTATTTCAAAAATTAACTCGATTTCGCGGGAATTTGCCCGAGTGGAAGAGCCCCGAGAAGGATCGAGAGAGAGAAAGAAAGCTGCGGACGTTTGACTGATGCTGTTCTGGAAAACGATTAGAAGCATGTGGGCTTGCACGGGATACATAATGTACACGACGAGTGGTCGCGCTAATTTTGACGACGATACATATCGATTTTTCGACGAGTCTCGCTGACAAATCAGCTTCGATCTTTCGCCGCCGCCCCTATGTACCTATACGCACACGCGAGCAACTCCGTCCGGCGCGATATCTGCTTCGATGCTTGCTTCGATGGCGCAAAATTGTTTTTTGCATATAGATATCGCGCGGCTCCGAGCCTGTGCCGCGAGTGTCGCGGCTGTGTGGTCCAGGCGTAAAATCGGCTCTATTGCGCTTGCATAGCTTGTCGCTCGCGGAGGTGCGCTCGAGCGTCTATACTTGTACGTTCTTCTATCGCGTACATAGCTAATGCATTATAGGTGTATATACCGGCGTACAGAGAGATCGCGTGGGAGTAGCTGTATATTATACAGCGACTCGAGTTGTTGCTCGTAACCGCTGTGTTTGTGAATCCCGTCTAATAGGTCCCCAATGCGGGGCGGAGCAGTGGCAGACCAACCGCAAAATGAGCCTCGACCCTCTCTCTCTCTTTCTCTCTCTCTCTCTCTCTTTCTCTCCACCCGCGCCTTTATTGTGTGTGTGTGTGTGTGTGTGTACTTGCGGTTGATGCACGCGTTCTTCCTCTTACGCGTTATGTACTCAATATTTGATGTGCTTAGTAGCAGCAGCCGCCATCGTTCGATGCTTGCTTTTACCGATTAACTGCCTGTACTGGACGATAATTATCGAGCCTTACCCTCGGCTATGAGTATTTTCGTGATTCGATAATGACCACTGCGTTGCTTTTCATCACTTTATCGTGCAGATATTTACGAGATTTTCATTGCTGCATCTCAGTCACGTCGTCTGTATTTTAATGTCGAACATAAATCGACCATTAGCGTTGGAGTAGCAAATTTATGACGCGATTCGACCGCCCCATGAGCGAATCAGCTTTCTTTGAAACGAGCGATCGCTAAATCAAAACACAACTTTGAAAGACGAAAAAAAAGACTTGCGGATAACGGACTAATGATGAAGGATAAGCGAGCTTAAACAGCACGAGCCGACTTCTTGCTAGTCGCACTTGATAGGGGACTTTTCCAGGTTTTTGTCGGGTATTATTTCACTTGAATTATCGTACAGCCACGACCTGTGCTCTGCCAGTCGCCATACATCACATCATATGCACCTCTACGTACATACACAAACTCGCTCGAGAGACTCTGCAGGCTCTATTATATTCGTTATCGCCCGGCAAGTCTGCGTTGTTTCTAGAGGCGATAGGCATCGTGATGGTGTGGCGAGTTGCGGCGCGACACAAAACAACACTTGCACTTCTATATACGTATATAGCAGCGCACTCCAAGCTGCAACGAAACACAATACACACATACACATACATTTATTCACTCATTCGCCGCTAAAGTTACCTGTTATAATTGTTTGCGCAATTATTTCAGTTTTTTTCTATTTATTAAAGAGCAATATTCTGCATAACTCATTTCTACAAGTTTATTTTATCAAACGAATTTATTTATTACAATATACATTATATTTATGATTACATTGAATTTAAACGGCATTTCAAACCAAGAAAAATTTTTTTGTTGAAGTAAAGCTATTTACCAAGCTGATCATGTCGTTTAGGTCAATCCTGCATCCAGATCAATTTTCACTCTTCTTTCATCATGTTTGTAGAAAATCAGTAGCTAAGAAATGTTTGGCTGGTTCTTCTGAATTGTAATGTAAATCCATGCTCTGCAGTTTGTCAAGTTCATAATATCTATATGGTCTTAGCTGAAATGTGCCTGCTTGATTCTTATCAAAATAAAATATGCGATTAATGATTAACATTAAGGGGGTATGGTACTTAAAATTAAAAAAAAATCTGGAAAGTATTTTCGTTTCCATTGAATTTTTTTAAACCCTAAATTATTGGTTTTGCACTGAGATACATCTGTTTTGAAAATTTTTACTCACAGGCCTTTTTAATATGAATGAAATATCAATATTGCGATCCTAAATCAAGGCTTATTGAACTTTTCATATTCGGGCTCAAAATTGCAATCAAGTGCGGGAAAAAACAGTTATGCTATTAAACAATAAAAAATGTGAAAATATAATCAATGGTATACCAACAGTAAAAGTACCACTGGGAATTTTTATGGAATGTTTAAATCGCTTCTTATAATATGAAAGCGTCAGAAATGTAATTTACTTTCGATAAGCTAGTATTGTTTTTTGCTCGGAAAATAAAAAAACAAGATGAAAAGTTTGTAGGACAAAAATGAGAAAAAATCACGAAAGTCGGTACCAAAAGTGGTGAATTGAATGGGTTATCAACAATTTTAGTGTGTTTTCGACCATGATATTGTCAAGATTAAAAAAATATCTAATTCAGGGAGCAGTAAATGAGGCACTTTTTGGTTCAGAATAGTTCAATTTTCTCTGAAGGTAAGGTTGTCATATAGTTAATGCGAACCCTTTTTTTGAAAATGTTCAATGATAAGAGGACGACTTTCATGCGTAGACGAAGCATACGGGTGTTAAGTATAAAAAATAAACATTTGATAAATATTGCCTAAGAAATTCAAAATAAAAATAACAAAATCTTTATTGTTTCGACGCCAAACTACGGAATTAGGGTATTACTATAACTTAAAATAAGAAGATTGACGGTTCGAAGGTCAGAGTACAAAAGGAAATTTTCCAATTCAATTTTTATTCTTGGATAGGTCTTATACAATGTTATTTGTTTAATTTTCAGCAAAAGAACAAGGTTCCACCGAGATTTGAACTCGGATCGCTGGATTCAAAGTCCAGAGTGCTAACCATTACACCATGGAACCGCTTTGAGAACAGGTAGCTTAATTAACTACATAAATATGTTAATTATAATTAAGTCGGAAACATTAAAAAAGTAATGAAAAACACGTATATAAAGTCAGTATCTATATGTTTTAGTTGCTTACAAGTCATAGCCACTTAAATATGCAATAAAAAACTGTAAAAAATCCAAAATACAAGGTCCCACCGAGATTTGAACTCGGATCGCTGGATTCAGAGTCCAGAGTGCTAACCATTACACCATGGGACCCGTCGAAAACGGGATTGTAAAAACAGTATTTAAATCTTAAACAAGTATCGCGAAAAAAATCGATAAGAATTTCCATCTGAAATAGTTAAATAATATTTTAGGGCAATCCTATATTTAATATTAAGGATTTCTACTTATTTATAAGTATAAAATGTGATTTTATAATAGTAATCATGATTGGTATCACATGTGATAAGAATAAACTAAAAATTTTACGTGCAAATAAAACAATATGTATTTCATAAATATGTCATATGATTACATAAAAGAATTTTCTTAATATATAATTCATACAGAATTTTCAGGAGAAAAGAAAAACCAACAAATAAATTATTTTGAGCTTTTAACATAGTTAATTTACTTACAAGTTTTACACTCTGGTGTTACAAAAAGCTGAGCTTAATTAAATGGTTTTGTTGATATCAAGTATAGTATTTAAATCACACAAATATGTTTGTTACAACATCATATTTACACTCAAAGTAGCCGAAAATCATTTATTCTTAACGATTCAGACGACTGCATATCCCGAACATTTCTTCAAATTTCAATTCATAGTAACTGCACATCAGATATTCACAAATACAATTGAAAACGTATCTACCAACAAACAATACACTGTGAAAGATTTAAAACCATTTTATCAACTAAGACAAGCAAATGTTTCAAAATTCTGAAAAAAAAGTTTTTATTTCAAAAAATTACATACAAAGGATATCCCAGGTGCATATCGGATACCAAAAATACAAT